AGGTATCAGTAGAACACAATGTTTTATTGATATATTTACAATTTTAAAGCAGTATGGAAGCTTAACAGTACCTCAATCATTATAATAAAATAAATTCTAAATACCTATATAGTTTAGCGTTTGATTTTGGTTTTTTATCATAGAAAATCAGAGTCCCCCCTGTCCCCTTTGCTCACCAGGATGTGAGTCCAGCTGTGGCTGTCTTCCCCTCCCCTCCCTACCCCAACTCCTTTGTGGCACTGAGCAGCCCTGATATACTGGTGCCCTGCCCCTGACATTCATTGCCTGTCTCTGGCCCCTCATTGCCAAGCCAAAGCCTCCCCCCAGTCCTGCCAATGCCCCTCACTCCCAACCCACAGCTCCCCTAGTCCTGCTGGTGCCCCTCACTCCTGACCCGTTGCCCCCAGACCCCAGACTCCCAGTGTGTAAGGAAGGGGGTAGGTGTATAGGGAAGGTGGTGTGTGGGTACAGGTGACCCATTGAGGGGCAGCAGGACATGTACCCCCCAGATTTCTGCACCCACAGCGGGGCACGGAGTACAGGGCTGCAGCCTGACCAGAGTAGCTCCATACAGGAGCCACCTCCACAGCCCAGCAGGTGGGACCTAGTATGGGTAGGAGTGCTGTATTGCCATGGCCACCAAGGTGAGGTGTGGCAGTAGTGGTGGTTGTGGCTGCAGCTGCGGTGCAGAGTTGTGCTCCACACTACTGTCAGGCAGGCAGAGGGCACCTCACTTTTGTGGCCATGGCAGCGTGGTGCTCCCTCCTGCACCAGGTCCCACCTGCTGGGCTACAGAGGCAGCTCCTGTCCAGAGCTGACTGCAGCCCTGTGCCCTGTATCCCAGGCACAGAAATCATGGGGTGCCCCCACTGCATTGCCTGTGCCTCTGTCCCTCCTCCCTGCCCCCATAGACTTACCTGGAAGTAGCTGGTTTCTGCCACACTGCCTGGCTGCCATGTACATGTGCACATGGTGCCTGCTGCATCCCACTCCCTCCAGCCCTAAGCACCCCCTTGGAGGCTGGAACTCTGCAAGCCTGCAAAGGGAAACCCACAGCTTCCCAGGTTTTTCTCCTTCAAAGTTGAAAATCTGTGTTTTTCCACATTTTTTTGCAGCAAACAGAAAACGCAGATCCCTGCTTATCAATTAAATATGATATTTAATTCTTAATATCCAGACTTTAAAATAAGGAGCTTTGTCTAGCAAAGCCAGTTTAAGATAGAAATTACTTTTACTTTTCCTGTTGTAATATACAAAGCAAAAATTTACAGTATATATAAAGGAATGTATTTTGGGATGATCTATAAGTAATGGTGCTCAATTTCTCTGGCCCTGTGGACTGGATGGATCATGCTGGACTGGTTTGTGGTCCTGATCTTCCATGTGGGGTTGGTCCGCAGGCCTTATCCAGGATGGGGTGGTATATGGGGTCAGTCCATGTGTATGAGCCTGAACACTGGCTTGACCCTCTTTGCTGGATCTGGCCAAAGAACAACCATGAGCTGGCCTGATCTGGTGTGTGGGACTGTGTCATCTGGACTGTGAAGCTCCCCATGGGTCTGGAAATTTGGAAGTGGGGGGAGTGCTGGCAGTTGCTGCCACTCCCCTGTCGCCAGATTTCCAGACCCATGGGGAGCCTCATGGGCTGGATGACATGGCATCATAGGTCAGATCCAGCCCCCAGGCCAGAAGTTGAGTATCATTGACTTGGAGTAAAGGTTCAGACATTTAATTAGCAACAATGTAAGGTTGTGGCTGGGTGCTCTGGGCAAAATGGAAGCAGCAATTTTCTGTTTGCATTCAAAAACACATGGCTGTCACCAGCAGCTGCTTTTTTTTCACCCTCTGCTCCTGCCCTCCAAATCAGTGCCCAGAGTGGTTGCCCCTATGCTCCCTCTTCCCTCAGTTACGTCACTCTTAATTAGTGTAAATTGGCCTATTTGAAGCCAATGATTTATACCAGATTGAGGACTGAACTCTTAAAAGAAGTTTTGAATATTTAAGTTTAACATCTGAAAGCGAGCAAAAGGTGAACTTAGGTAGTATAAGTAGCCAGGGTAACATTATTTTCCACTTTTAAATATGGTAAATTAGTAAATAGTCACTTTTAATAATATGGAACAGGTCTAGAGTTAATATATATGTCATGTTGCTGGTTACAGATGGCATGCTGCTAGTGAGAAAGAGTTGCTTAAATTCAGAATTGAACAATTAGAGCTGGTTAGAAGTCTTGGGTCAGAAGCATTTTCTCTTGAAACATTTTTGTTTGAAGTATAATTCTCTAGCCAGTTTTGATATAAATTATTGACTTGTTAGAAACTGCTTCTTTTCGACTTCTATATTATGACACTTCCTTATATTATATTATATTATATTATATTATATAATACTCTCTCTATAGTCCTCTGTGTTGCCTCTTCACTCCTCTCTGAGGAGATTCCGTTATTAAATCTTGGCATTAGGAAGGGTATGGGCCCCTCTTCCTTTCATGACCCTTAAATCTTTTGCCACTAATCAGAAGCTGAGTTGGTATCTCTGTTGGGTGTTGGCTGTAGCCAAGTCTGGGGAGTGTGTCAGTGCTCCTGTTGGCACTCAAAGCCAAAGGTTCCTAGCTAGATGGTCTTACCATCTGTTTGGGATCAGACTGATAGCCATATTTTGGGTCAGGAAGGAATTTACCTCGTAGTCAGATTAATATAGACTGTGGAACTGCATCCAGATGAGCGTAGACGTTTGTTTCCCTGGGGACAAATAGCAGTGGCACACCTTGTGCTGCTTTTTGTCCCCAGGGGACGCCCATGTTGCACGTGCTCTGGCATGTGGCAGGTTACCCTGGGTGGGGTAGAGGAGGCCAGGACCAGCAACTGTGCAGGCCCCAGCAGCCTTACCTGGAGCCCTGGGGGCCTTGGGGAGCTGCAGCCATGGTGGTCCTGCAGCTGGGAGTGTGGCTCCACCCAGCCAGGCTCTGGTTTTGGGCAGTCCACACTGC